TGGTAATTAAATTTGTACCATAGATTAAGTAGGCCAACAGAATTAAACCCAACATACTGGCCAAGTACTTTAACTAATTGATCAATAAATTTGAAAAGCGTTTCTAATGTGTGACAGAGTTGATGCGGCAGGATAAAGTGTGGACTTGTACACATGCATTTTGGCTGATAAAATGATAATCATTTGGCAATAAAATCATCAAAAGATAAATGTGTGCATAATTTGACTCCTTACTGATTTCTGATATTGAAATATACTTTTGTCAAAAAATAAATAAATATATATATACAGTATAATTTTTACCTACATATTAATCCAGTTTAATGCAGTGGTGGATTGAGGAATAAGATAAAAGGGGCCCAGGTATAGAATATTAAAAGTGGAGGGTCCAGGCTAGCTCACAGCCCCACCATAGTTGGGAGTGAGTTCTGAAATTTTATGGCTGCGGCAGCTTTAGATGGCTGGGAACAGTGGTGGTGTCAGCAGGGGGACAGGGGGCTCAAGTCCTCCATTGGACAGAGCTCGTTGTGGCAAAAAATATAAAAATAGGCCTGCACCAAGCTAAGCTGAGAATGCCATTTCCGGCCATCCAGAGGTTGCTATTCTTACAAAAATTTCATTTGGTAGAGGAACACCCTTTCAACCCCTTCCCCAGCTCGGGACTACGAGCTCTCGTCCCCCATTGGACAGCTTAGCCCCCATCTCCCCCCTCTCCCAAAAAAAAATATCCTAGAGCCACCTGTGGCTGGGAATGGTACTCGCATCTTTAATTTGAATGTTTCTTAATTTTTAAATTTTTAAATATGTCAAAGATTTCAGAGGCCCCAGGCTGGTTAGGCGCCCTCAACCCCTGAATCTGCCTCCGCAGTTCACACAAAATTTAATTTTACACACTGGCATTCTTAATGTAACAGACTTCAGGATGTGCCTACATCCAAAATCATTGTCATCTTAGCCAAGCAAATTCAGATCTTGCTAAAAGTTTGCACAATTTTATACGGCCTTGATTTTTTTTAGAGCAGATGGGGGTGTTGATCATTTAAGGTCTAGCTGTGCTTAAGGGGTGCCAATACCTGTTCCTCTTTTACTGTCTATAATCATCTTTGACATTCAGCATGGATGTAATTTATTTAGATTAGAATTTCAAACATGACGATTAATACTGTACTAGACAGTTGCTATGTTGTATTGAATAAATTTTCACAAAACAAATTGCTAGCTAAATAGGAAGACTGAAGATTACGGGTGACACTAAAGACAAAGATAAGCTCTTTCCCAGCCCTGTAAGCATCTGTTCAAATCCATGAAATATCTTAATTTTATCATTGTTACAGGCCTCTGTGATGTCTAGTTTTCTTACTTCATATTTGAAACATTTTCTAACCTTACATAATGCAATGTAGCAGGGTATGGGAGGTTTAAGTGGTTTGCAGACTGAAGGTTTTTTATAAATATAAAAATACATTTTTACCCCAAAATATGGATTAATATTTGACTAATTATGAGTTTTTTTTAAATTGGTCCTTTGGTATGCCCTATTAAGCAATTAGTATAGTTGTGTATCATACTTGTTGAAAGCATTGAGTCCCTAATTATTAGCTCCACTTGTAATCTTAAAAAAAAAAAATTACACAAATGAATTGTTTACAAAACATACATTCAGAATGCCTCTATGCCATATGTTAATGCAGCAGTTGTTGTATCATGGTCAAAGTTGATAAATTATGCAATGTTATATTATTGTATGATTGATTTCCTCCAAGGGCATAATGACCATTATGATAATGAATGAAGGAATGTACTGAGTCTCTCTACCTTTTAACAGGGAGGACCATGCACAATGGAAGATTTGGTGAGTGCACAATATCAGAGCTGTCTCTTATACGCGAGATGCGAAGTACAAAAACTAATCTCATTAGAGAGGGCGCACTTTATTGACTTTAGGTTCTATCGATTTAGGTTCTGTTATCACACATAAAAACGGCCGACATGATATTTTCCGTTGCTAGTATTGACACTTGTGAAATATAATATTTCACAGGAATTATTTCAAATTTGTTAAAAAACTGATTCTGACTGAGATTTTGACACTTAAACAAACATTATATCTCAGCCTAACAGAACGACCGCATTGTGCGAGATGCGAAGTACAAAAACTAATCTCATTAGAGAGGGCGCACATTATTGACTGTATAAAGTATAAATAAAAGCGAGAGTATTCCAGTGGATGCGATCTACAACCTCTGAATTTGCCTAGTAACGATGAATTCGTCGAGAAAATGGTAATATTTTATGAGAAATAGTCTGTATTTCTCATTTTTTTTATTCTTTTGCGTAAAACTAAAATTCATGCAAATATTTTTCCATGATTTATAAAAATTGGAGTAATTCAAATGCATATTTTCTAAAAGAAGTCAGTTTTTAGGGAAATTTTGCCGGGAATGGGGCTTTATTAATGCATGAAAATATTTCCTGAGGACCTGCAAGGCCTGAAGAAAGTTTTTATTGTGTTAATTGAACCAGGGAGTTGTTATAGTGACAACAACTCTCTGATTGAACCTAAGTATAATTTCCTGTGGTAAATAGATAGCACTTACATGCTAATTGCTTAATTATAAGTCAATCACCATCCTCTTATGTTAGTTTTGTGAATATCTATAATGTAGCCTTTGCATTGAGTGTTTCATTTGAATGACAGTCTACTACTACTTTGAGCGAATGCTAGTTCAAGTCTATGCTAATTTAAATGGATGCGTTCGGTGAAAAATATAACAATGGCGAATTTATCCAAAACAAATGATGACATTGTTTTTATTATCTGTATTTGTAATGTAAAAGTAATTGTCACCATAAAATCTAGGTTGTCAAGGTCCTAACATCATTGGTATAGTGAGGGAGATGGTTAGACTGTCACAGGGGTCCCAAGTCACCTTAAACGGTCTCCTGCACTCATGCAAGCAAACAAAGTAGGAAATTCACAAGTTAATTTTCGCAAAACTGGATACTTTATTGCTCAAAATGGCATCCGCTCGAAGTGGTGTCCATCCTTATTGACTGATTTTTATTCATTCAGACTAATGTTGGAGTAAATAAATAAATAAATAATAATACTAAAATTGACTGCATTTTTGTGTTGTTAAATCTGAATGCCAAATTCTAAAATGTTTATGTTCTATTTTTAATAATTATAGGCATAAGGCTAAATTGCAGAGGCCATATGATCACATCCATTGCGCCTTTTATTACTATCTATTTTAAGACATTTCACTTGAAGAAATATGAGAGTTAATAAAAATGATGATAGAGGTATTGGATTGCTGACATTAAATAATACACCGTCAGTTTCTATACAATTGCAAGGTTTACGACACTGTCCGTTGATATTGAAGTCACCTGCAACATTCTCCTGACGTACTTACTGCACCTGTGCTACCCTGAAGAGGTTGTGCAGGATTTCCCTTGCTAAACTCAGATAGAGAAGGTTAATAAAAGGATGTTATATGACAGTTGTTGAAGATTTGTTTTTTATTGTTTTAAGGTTACTTTTGTATTTGGTAGTTACAGAATTGTTTGGTGTTGTAAACCATAGAGGGCAGCAAACAGGCTGGTTATAATGATATGCAATGATCTTTTGGTTATTGATTTAAGAAGAATGCAGTACGTATAGAATTTAACTTTCATGTTATAATACCTAGTGTATCACACGTAAATGTTATTTCCAATCCCACTAGCGCTTTATTGAAGATGAGTTTTTTAATTTATTGCTATTTTTAATAGCATGTGAGCAGTGTATTATAATACTGTAATAATAAATGAATATTTATGGATCGACTTTAATGGCTTTAATCCTATTGTAGTTGTAAACAGTTCAACAAATATTTTTTATTAAAAAAAATGTTTTGAATGAAGATGAGTGTTCTTTATTTGTACTACCTGTATAACAATATTAATAATAATAATGGTAATTTATATAGCACATTTTCCTTGCAGTTACAAAGCGCTTGAATCTTCAAATATTCATCAATATTGAAACCTTGTGTCTGCCAAAAATAGGCTCTGCATGCTGCTTTTTTGTTTTGTACTTCTGGACACCAGATACATTAAAAACTGTGCACTATGCGCAGCCTCCTATTTTGTGGGAAGATTTTCCAATCATGCAACTAACTCAATGCCAGACCAATTTCAATCCACTTCATTCACTTTGTACCAGGTACCCAAAAATTAGAAAACATTTGTTCACACAAGTGCACAGTGTAGATTTGAACCAGCTCCATCTTCATGATATTTGCATGTTTTGCTAACTCTATTACCAATTTAGGTCTAAATATCCATTTGCACAGTTACGATTCTGCGCACCCTATTTTCTTTACGATTTAGTGTTCAAATTTGGGTTAAATGTCAAAGTGTGTTAAATGTAAATAGAGGTCCCCTCCAATTAAAGACTACTATTGGGGTGGGGGTCTGGGTTTGCCATGGTATTTAGCAGCTTTGGTCTCTTAATTTAATAAAGATAATATACTGTATTATTAAAGTGGTCTTAAATATTTGAGTTGTCTTTAATTAGAGGGAAACCTAGTGTATAATATTTTACAATGTATTGAGTGTACATTGCAGTAGAACCCAAAAATATTAAAATAAAACTGATAAATTTGCAGAAAATACATTTGACAACTCCTGTTCTTTAATTACTTGATCTGTGACTACTATTGTTATGGAAGATGAGTCATTCAGCTCTCAATTACCAGAGCTGATATTAGCGAGTAATATAACACATTATAAATAAGACATACACAATTTCATGTGGAAATTGTGTTTGAACAAAGGTTAGGCCAGAACACAGGCTCTTTTACGAACAAAACCCCTCGGCTGAGGAAAGTGCTGAAGGATATCTTCACCTGCAAGGTTTGTTGTACTACTATCACACCTAATCTCGAGACATTGGTTGTTCGTTCGATGAGTGTTGTCTAATTATGCTTCTTCATTTTCATTATTTTTTGCAGAATCAATATGTTTCGACCGTTAACCAATATATCGTTACGAAGGAAAACACAAGTTACACCGCCTGGAAATGAAACTTATCTAGTGGAAATCGATGGACAGTCAAGGTAATGCAAGAAATATATTTATATTTATGGTGTGTTTCTACTGACGAGAAAAAAAAAAAAAGTACTTAAGCTGAATGCTCTCGTTGGCAGTAAAAACTGCCCTATAAAACACGTTCTTTTCGGAATCCCAAAGAACTGTTCTTTAGCACTGAAACCAAAGGAACATTCATCCTAAAGAAGCTTCCTTTTCAATAGCTTGCAACCAAATAGCAGTCTATCGTATTCAGACTACACTCTGTTGTGATTGGTTGCGATGTGATCGGTGGTAATCCAAAACTGATTACTCCCGATTGCAATTAACGAGTGCATTCAGACCAACACAAACAAACTTTACATTCTAGGGCCTTCCCTCTTGTGTTTAGGCTTTTGTTGACTGACCTCAGACAAACAGTGCCAAACCAGACAAACCAGTGTGGAATTTTTGTGATTCATTGCGATTGGATTCCGTTGTAATCGGGAGTAATAAAGTTTGTAGCACCCAATCACAACAAGTGACATTTCTGATATATATATCTCTTTAGTTTATTTTAATTTACTAATTTCTAGCGCATAGAGACCTATGTATTTTGCGCTTTACAAATCCAAATTATTATTATTATTATTATTATTATTATTGATTACTTATTAATGAGCTTTTACACATTATTTTACTGTGCGATTGGGTGTCGCAATTGCTACAACCGATCGCAATGCGGATGCTAGTCTGAATGGGCCTACCTGGTGGGTACTCTTTTCATGGATTTTTTTTTTATACTAGGCTTTGTAGTAGAATCTATGTATGAGGTACAGTACATAAAACAAATATTGATTGCTTTAGATTCGAGGATGGGTGAAATCGAGCCCCTCGGTGATGTGGAGACCAAAGCCTACAGTACTTTCTCCACATCACCTCAGCGTAATATTATAGATCTCACCATTTCCCTCATGAGCAGTCAATATTTTTATACTATACAATTTAAATTCCTTTGAATATAAGAAATCTATTTTAATCGGTTCTGTTAATTGGCAAAAAAAAAATCTAAAGCATTGTCCCGACTGTCAAATATTTGCCTAAAACATGTGGCATACCCAAATATGGTCATGATGACATCACATCATGACCATATATAGACACATCATGACCATATATGGGCATTCAATAGTTTTTTGTCAAAGATAATTTGATAGTGTGGACAGGGATTTAATCTATTGTTCAATTGAAAGCTATAGCTGGCTAAATAATTAATAAATGGTAAAAATAATATATTAAATTCATTTTTGTTAGATCACCATAGGCAGTTTATACTTTATACCCTTAAAACTAAATTGTTTTTATATTAGTCACAGTAAGTTTTCAATTATAAGATGGATTACTAATAAATGATAAGCATTGCATATAATAAAAAAAAAAGTAGCTGGGCTAAAAAAGATGACAAAATTGAAACTGAGTCCTTAAATTTCCTCACTGGGCTTAATTTAGAATTTAATTTCTTTTTTTTACTCAAATAACTAAATAAAAGCCAAACAGGAAATATTAGAACTATTAAAAGTACATAAAACGACTGCTTTCAAATTAAAACCTTCCAGATAAAAGCACCAAAAAAGTAAGCTGTATTATATCACATGATTGAGGAGCACAAAAATATAAAATTGTACAAAATGCCCATCCAAAAGTTTTTATTTTTAATTATATCACAAAATAACATAAACCTGCACTATCAAAACAGGTAAAAATACATAAAATTAAAAAAGTAGAATTAAAAAGTATAAAAAAACTTCCAGAACACCAAAAAGCAAACTAATGATAATGCATCATGAATCATGTGAGCAAAACATTCTACAAAATGTATGCATCCAAATGCTACATAAAAAGGTTTAACATTACAGTAGATGAGTCACAGAGCATTAGTATATAATATCATATTTGTCAGAAATGTACTGTCTGCTTTGAATTTTGGTAATACCTTAGAAGTCTGTGTGAGAGAGGGGGGGGGGACAATACAATATTGGTGTGAGTTGTTGTGGGGGGAGATGTTTGTTTAGAAGTGCTTGAGCATAGACACTGGTCCACAGAACTTAAAATAAATTAGCTTGTCTTGGAATATTGTGCCCTCTTTCTCCACCTTTTCTTCCTCTTTTGACTTCTCTCTTTTTTTGTGGGGGGGGGGGAGGATGAGGGGGCCTGGTCCCTATATTGACCCTTGATCCGCTGCTAAAAGTGCTATTAAAAAATTAAATTGCATGTTTAAAAGAATCAAATGAGTTCAAGTCAACTTCCAATGAGTCAGTCCAATCGAATTTAGGCCCACTGTATGTGCAGAACAGACGTTTTACTACAAACCTCTACAAATTGGTTACCTAACTATTTAAATATTAACATTTGAAAGATACAATACTAAATCTACATGGTAAAATTAATTTACATATTGAATTTCATATTTAAGGTTTTTAGGTGAACACAGATGGAATAAATTTGATCATATGTTCTTTAGTCTTTATAATAAAAACTTTAATCATGTAATATATTTCACCTTAAATGCTAAATAACTTCATCCCACTCCCACAAAAATGCTTGTTGTGGAACCAACCAGCACCTAGGTTCCGCTAGACCTCCAACTCTCATTTTCATTATAGTTACTATACAATTAAAAATTCTCTTAAAATTTGTATTGTCATTTTGTCTTTTGTCAGGAGTAATTCAAGAGGCGAGCCATTGGTGGCAATAGTAGGTACTGACATGTCACTCAACCTCTTCTCACGAGACACATTCTCAGCCTACAGAAAATTTACAGGTAAGTTTCAACATTATGAATTAAGCCACTGATGCATAAATATGGAACCCATCTGAGCAGAAATCTGTAACCATATGGCATTTGTAAAAAGAAAATACAGTAGAAATCATGTTCAGATTGTCCATATTTTGGTTCGGCAGTCGATGTTGCATACTGTACTAGGCAGTACACATCAACCACACCTGTTAAGCTGGTTTTTGCCAGAGTAGCTCTCCCACATATTCCTAATGCTTTCGTTTTGGTAATTCTATTGGTATATTGATTAAGGAAGTCTCCAATTAATAATAATAATATAGAAACTAATATGTCACCATTGCCAAAGGATACAAGATATATGTGGACTAGGAAATGACTTTCTTTTCCCTTAAGGGTCCCCTCGTGTCTGTGCTACCCGGTAACCTGGTAGCAGGAGCTCACGGTTTTAGTCCTTATCTGAAAAGGTTGCTGTTCCAACCAGCGCCAATATTATAACTATAGGTTGCGGCGCCCCTGCTAACCGCTCAGCCATTTGATTCACCAAATTAGGAGGTGCATATTGGGTTTGCATTTGGGATCGGGTATTCCACCTTGTACTCCTCTTCCTCGTTGGGAGGTACATGCAGGTATGGCTAATGGCCCAATAATTTGAACCATAAATTAGGGGGGGAAATTATAGAACAATGCAGGAAAAATGTCGTTTGCAAGTTTTTTTTATCTCAGCTTGAATAATCATATTATAGACTAAGGAGGTAGGAGATACAAAGATTGTTAATCACAACTGCTTAGAGGCTCTTGTTAACATAATTAGAAAAGTACCTCTGAATTATGTATTGTTAATGGTTGGCAAATGACCAGCATACATTCAGTCACATATTGATGAAGGATGCTGTCAAAACTACTGTATGTCACACTAATTGGTTGGGGTAACTCTACCTTCATGTTCATGTAAAAAATCTACAGTAAGATATGTTCACGCACACCACCTAGGACTACAGTATACCTATCTCCATCATGAATTTGGAAGCTCTAAAATTGTCATTAATATTCTAATAAAACCAATATAATACTATTTTTGGTGGATTTTGTAGGCAGTCTCCTGAATGTATCCTATGTAAGATACAGAATACAGTACTGTAAAACCTCGAATTGAAGTCAAATTAGCTAAATCTCGAGATGAAGCCCATGTTGAATTGAAGCACCCTTTTTTAGTTTGCAAAATTAGCCTCAAGCCCATGGGTTTCTTTTCAAGATAGCACAAGTTTCTTTTCGAGACAGTGCAGTATATACACTGTACATGAATTTAATAAAACAGAATATATTGAACACAAGCTTGGTTTATACAGTAGTTTTGGTGATTTAAATGCCAGTTAAATACACTCCATGATATTGATGTTACAGTGGCCTTATTTATTGTTTCATAGTAAAAATCCACAATATTTACAGCATTCATTTTGAAAAGAAGCCTCCCTCTTTACTTTGCAAATGTAGCCTCGAAAAGAAGCCCATCCAAAGTTCACAAAAAAAAGAAAGGAAGCCCAGAGCTTCAATTTAATGTTTTATGGTATATTATGTTACTGAAATACTAAACTATGAAAACCCCAGAAATAGCATGCAAGATAATGCAGTGAAAAATTATTATTCATAATTATTTGTATTACCACAGACCCTATATACTATATGTATATAGGGTCTGTGGTATTACTGACATATCTGGCCATCTCATCCTGTGTGAGGGTTTATTGCTATCCAAATTGTGATGTCAGCATTAAAAGAGTAATTAAGGCTTCTAATTGCTAAAACTTTGATTTACCAAAATTCACTTTCTGGTCTAGTGGTTATGATGTTAACCGTATCCTGTATGATGAAGGTTCCGCTTTCAAGTCCCAGTGGCGTTTGATTTCTCTGTTGCATTCCTTTAATAATAATATTTATGTTTATTCATTGCATCATCAGGTTTGTTGTTTCTTGGTTCTTTCCATTTACCTATGTGGTACCCCATGGTTTTATGAGTATATATAACAAAATCAGCATCAGAGTTTTTATGTGCCTACATGCATCAGAAAAATTTGCGCTTTTAATTAACTTCTTGGAAATTCAAATACTATATATTATTTATTATTGAATAACTTATAATTTAATCCAATAACCCTTGAAATAGGCATACTTATTCTTTGCTTATGCATTTGCAAGATGATGTAAGCCAAACAGATTCGCATGCGGCCACCAGTGATTTCTTTTGCGGCCCGCGAAAATGAATTAAAAACTCTATTAGTGCAGCCCGCCAAGCAACATTGGCTAGAAAACACCTTGTTTTATACAGCCCAACACTGATCATATGTAAAAAGTAACATTAAAACTGAGAATAAAGTGGTGTAAAAGCAGTGCTTGGAGGTTTTTGGAAGCTCACTGGAAACATAAAAGTTTGGGTGTGGCTCTCGGTTTTAAATCAAAAATTCACTTTAAAAATTGTTATGCCCATCCTGATGTAAGCTTGGGAAAAATGCCTCAGTATAATCTGATTGTTTATTTTTATTCTCTATTTCAATCTTATTTGTTTTATATTTCTTATTTGATATAGACATATTGTCTGAACTAAAAGTCTCCTTTAAACTGTTGAAAGTGTATCTATAAATCTATGGGCATCTTGTCAATGAGCATTAAATGTAGTGCCCTCGAAATTGTGACCTCAGTATGTTAAGAAAATAAAAAGGCTTGTAATCACTATTGACACATATATAAATTCGCTATCCTTTATGGCCTAGTGACTATGACGTTAGTCGTTAGTCGTGTATCACAAATATTCTGGTTCATGTCCCAGTAGAGGTTGATTTGTATAAATTATCCTTTGGCTTGATTGTCCTTACATTTTATTAATGATAATACTGTATTTATGTATTCATTGCATTATCCTGGATTCTTCAGAGATGCCTGTTCATAAACATTATTATAAAGACAATATCTCATTTGGGATCTAACTTGCTGTTATTTATTTATTTATTTATTCTGTCTTTAAAGTGACAGCATTTTCAGTGATGCAGCACTGGTTTCACAAGTGATTTACATGAACAAAAAAAACAATAATAGAAATGCAAATCCGAAAAATCAAATGAACGGTAATTGAATGAAAAATATAAACGTAAATATAGGTACAGAAAAAAAAAAAGAATTTATTGTGGATCACGTGAACTTTCAAAGTGAATCACATGAACAATTAAAAGTTAAAAGAAATGCTAATAAGAAAAATAATATAAAGGTGAATATTAAAGAAGAACTAATTTAATTTGGATCACGGCAAGAGAACATCTTTATAGTGGAAATGAATAAAAAGAGTTTTGAGTAAGTTTTTAAACGTTGCTAGTTGAAAATTGTTGAAGGTTTATTCTAGTTTTAATGACAGTCAATGCTTGTAGATCTCTGGTTTTGTCGATATAATACAGGATTAGTGCTCTCCAATAGAATGTCTCGTCAGGGGCTTCACTTAAGCGGCCTAGGGCATTTCAAAATACTGTATTGTACAGTTTTACCTGTGTGAACTGACCAGGAAAGGTCTAGAATCTGGAATCCAGATCTATGTGATAGAATTGTGAAATGTGACAGAATTTAAGGGTACTTTAGCTATTTTTTTAATAAAGCACATAGATATGTTTTTCATCACTGAAGGATACACAGAATACAACAGGCCTAGATAGAAAGGAAGTTCCGCGTAGAAGATGATTATATACTATTAAAAGATTTAGGCCACCAGCCAATACTGCATTCAGGAATTTGCCTTCAGTCTCTCTGGACTCATTTTTATCAGTGCTAATTGTTTTTTGTGCACTAATTTACGAATAGTTTTACATATATATTGCTATACAATTTTCTTAAGGCACATAAATGAGATAACAGTGGGAGATCCAGAAATTTGAAATATGGAGGAGCCCAGAAAGGCAATTTTAAGGTGGAGGATGCAGACTAACCCAGCCCCACCTTGGTTGGGGCTGATTTATGAAATTTTGTTTATAGCACTTTTATATGGCTGGACATTTTTTTCTCCAGCTGTGCTCCTTCTTGAATCTGCCTATGCACACAGTTAAACTACATCAGGGATGATAGCAAGAAATTTTATGGAACTATACACTTAAGCCATATATAGGCTGTACATCATAACAAATTATTATATTTTTTATTTTGAAAAAATGTTGACATAATTACATTTTGTTTTTACAAAGAAGACATACATTCTATTATTTTTACATTCAGACTTGCACTACAAATTTATGAAGAATTTCAACCCATTTTGGATGAATTAAGTAATGTACTTCAGTGAATGTGATGCATTTCCACAGCTAAGTGTCTTCCTCTCTGATCTATTGCCCATCAACATGGCCATAAATTGATTGCACATAATGCATTTTACCAGGATCAATGTTTAATTCCGGAAATCTAACGCATTAGCACCATTAATCACCTAAAGATAATATCATATAATATTCTTTGTAGCTTCACATCATAAAGTAATTCGCGACTCAGTGTTACATATAAACAAATAGATAAATAATAATCGCAGTGTTTGAATAGGAACATAATTATAATTGTAACAAGCATTAGCCCTTCAGTGAAAAATTCCTTTTTTAGTACGAATAAAAGTGCCTCTGATGAGATTCGAAACCAGCAACTTCTCACTTTCAAGAGAGACATTACAGTATAGGCGCAAATCTATACTCTAAAGCATTTTTCTCATATCTGACTTTTTGCACTCACATAGTGGAGCCACGTTTAAGCTAGCTTGTAGGTCATAGCCTGGAAATAATATAATATTCGTATTTTACTGTGTGTTTGCTGCGTTAACGTATTTACTAAATAGACTTATAGAATAACAGTGCCTAAATAGAATGTCGCCTGTACACTTTGTATTTAAACTTACTTTACCTCATGAATATTAACTAGGTAATAAAATTGCATTGGTCAATTTTGTAGTCACAGTAGTTTCGTCCACTTCCCTACAGTATATGTGCATATTTTACACTGACACAGAGAAG